GTTACATCACCTTGATCTGTTGTTATTCCTGCATTAAGTATTCCACTGGGAAATGATACTGTTACTAATATTTCTAGGCATGATGCAATCCTACCTTTACAGTATTATAAAGACATCTATTTCTCTTAAAAAGAAACAAATGAGAAAATTATTAGGGAAATGCTCCTATCCTCTCAAGCAAGATACAACAAACACCTCTTAAATATAAAGCCCTGCAAAAAAGCCAAAGTACCTATACAGGTGTTTGGATTTTAGTCTAATCATCACTCGGTATTGGATTTCCTCTCACTGAAGACCTAAAATCTAACTGTTAGCACTGATAGGATACTTTGAGCTAATAATGGAATGTGAGAAGAGAAGATGGCTGAAAGGGAAACTGAGGTCAGCCTAAGTGGCTCACACTTATAATGGTAATAGCACTCTGGGAGGCTGAGGTGAGAGGATCGCTTGAGGTCAGGAGTGTGAGAACAGCCTGAGTAAGGGTGAGACCCTGTCTACAAAAAAAAAAAAAGGAAAAATGGGCTCGTGGTACCCATAGCACAGTGGTTATGGCGCCAGCCACATACACCGAGACTGGAGGGTTCGAACCCAGACTGGGCCAGCCAAACAACAATGGCAACTGCAACAAAAACTAGCCAGGCATTGTGGTGGGTGCCTATGGTCCCAACTACTTGGGATGCTGAGGCAAGAGAATGGCTCAAGCCCAAGAGTTGGAGGTTGCTGTGAGCTGTGACACCACAGCACTCCACTGAGGGTGACATAGTGAGATTCTGTTTCAAAGAAAAAAAAAGAAAAAAAGAAAAATGAACTATGGACCAGAGAGGGATATAGCCTGTCAGTTACTGCAAAGCCTCTGTGGTTTTCAAACCACAAATCAAATCAATCAATAGTTTATGTAAAGTAGTATGTATATGGCAAAGAGGGGCATGAGTGTGTCTTGTCAGTCTTTAAGTGTTTTTTGATTTGGATGGTGGACAGGATAACTGCTTTGTAATAATCTATTATACTATATAATACATTGCTATATTTCATAATTTTAAAAAAGGAAAACGGAGTTGGAAACCTCTACTGTATCAACTAAACTTGTTTCTATTAAAAATATATGAAATATGGCTCGATGCCTGTGGCTCAAGTGGCTAAGGCGCCAGCCACATACACTTAAGGTGGCAGGTTCGAATCCAGCCCCGGCCCGCCAAACAACAATGATGGCTGCAACCAAAAAATAGCTGGGTGTTGTGGTGGGCGCCTGTGGTCCCAGCTACTTGGGAGGCTGAGGCAGGAGACTTGCTTGAGCCCAGGAGTTGGAGGTTGCTGTGAGCTATGATGCCACAGCACTCTACCCAGGGGGACAGCTTGAGGCTCTGTCTCAAAAAAAAAAAAATATATGAAATAAACATGGGAGAATGTTAATATATGTTAAATACAGGGTGTGGGCAAACGGGATGTGTTAACATTCTGCATGTTTGATGTCTGACAGTGTCCAAATTACTTTGAGCTGATAGAGCAAATGAAAGTAATCATTAGATGATTCAAGTTAAAACAAGATCATGAATTAAATTTTGCTAGTCTTGTTCTATTCCTCAATCTTTTGTAACTTTCATTCCATATAAGAAGAAAAGGATTGGGGCTGGGCGTGGTGGCTCAAGCCTGTAATCCTAGCACTCTGGCAGGCCCAGGTGGGTGGATTGCTTAAGCTCACAAATTTGAGACCAGTCTGAGCAAAAAACGAGACCCCGTCTCTAGGAAAAAATAGAAAAACTGAGGCAAGAGGATCGCTTGAACCCAAGAGTTGGGAGGCTGCTGTGAGCTATTATGCCACGGCACTCTACCCAGGGTGACAGCTGGAGACTCCATCTCAAAAAAAGAAAACAAAAAGAATAAGAGGATTATAATGCTAATTAAAACTTCTAAGTTTACTATTTGGGAGGGGAGGGAGAGTGGTCAGAAAAAAAAGCATGATTCATAAAATACATGCCTGTTATTCATCTATTAAATTTTTTTTTTTTTTGCAGTTTTTGGCCAGGCTGGGTTCGAACCCACTACCTCCAGCATATGGGGCCAGTGCCCTACTCCTTGAGCCACAGGCGCCGCCCCTCATCTATTAAATTTCTAAATAACTTCATCAATTTACTTTTTTCCTTTTAGCTTCTGATTCTTCCAACCAGATATTTTATACATGTATTCAGAAAAATACACATATTTTGTGACTTTCTGCTTTAGGACTGTCTGTCTGCTTTTCTCCTAGCAGCTATTGGCTTTTAGAATAAGAAATGACTGATTTGTCCACAGAACATTCCAGGGAATCAAAGCTAGTATTATCTTTCACCCCTACTTAAATTCAGGATATCTAGCATGAAATGCGGACCAAATTATACAAAGATGAATGGTTAAAGATGAGTGGTTATTAGACCCACTGTTGACTTGTCTAGGAAATTTACAGATGCACAAAGAAATCCAGTTGCTCTAGGTTTCAAAAGTTTGAGCCTATAGCTTCAATATGCAGAGCTTATGATTCTAGGCTTAGGGTAATGACTATTTCAGAGTACTTGGGATAGGGGATGACTGTGTGTGTATATACATATATAATATTCATATACATAATAAGATAGTGGACACAGACTTTCATACTAGTTATTTCATTATCTTCAGATCAATATTTTCAAAAGGGTAAAAGAATGGGTCAGCCTCAGGAAGACAAGAAAAGCAGGAGGAGAGAAAAATACTAATATTGCAAAATACAGAAATCTAGGAAATGTGGAACACTTATGAGTCAATTCCAGTTAAATTAACTTTACCAGAGAACTGTGTGAGTTCAATGCTTCACTGCTCAAACCACAGGTATCACAATGCAATTTATCAGTTCACAGCTGTTCTGTGGGTACCATCTGAGGATCCGGAAATGACTGGTTTATGCAAAATACCCACAACGCCACAAACCAGGCACTCTCCACCACTTTAACATTTAGATTTTACATGTTACATCACTCTGCGAATATTAGATAATTGGCAAACATCTACTGAGCAAATGGGCCATAGATTTCAAACAAAGACTAAAATCTGGAAGGCCACAAGTAAACGGAAGCTGAAACTAGCTCACCATTCTGTTAGCCCAGGATGAGGATTTCGCGGAATCTGCTGAACTTCTCTTTCCCATACAAAAGGTGATACTCTCCCCTAGGAACGTGATAATTTAATCATCTCGTTGGTTGAGCGGGTGGGGCCGAGTCGATAATTCAAGAAATCACTAAGCGCTTGGCCCCCAAGTCGGCGAGAAACCAGCCAAAGACTATCAGGCCAAGTTCCTAAAAACCCTGAGCCCCCCTACACATAAATGCTTCCTCCCCAACCTTGGGGCCGAAGTCGGAAACTACTAGCGCTAGATTTCACTTTGTGCCAGGCACGGCTCACTCACTCCTTTCACGCAATTCTAACCCAAACATCCAATCCAGACAATCCCTATTGCAGGAGTAAATAGGCCGGCGAAACCCACTTACTGGACGGGTTCTGCATCGCGTCCCCAGCCCCTCTTCGCTCCGAGTTCCCGGGAGTATTAACCCATCACCCAGGTCCTTCCTTTCCCGGAGCGCACAGGCGTCTGCCGAGAAGTTTCACGGGCCACACGTTCTGAACTTGAAGCTTGGGGTCTCCTACAGAGACGCCCGGCTGCTACTTACCGGCACATTGTTGACACCTTGTCCTTTGGAAGCTATCAGGAGAATTTCTCTGAAGTCCATGTTTGGCCGAGGCGGGGAGACTGTGCCAGGCACTCAGGAAGAAGTGAGAGTGCGCTAAAACGACCTGCTCAGCTACATACAGCCAAGCCAACTGCCTCGGCAGCCCCGCACCTACCCTTCCTCAGCACGACCACTTCCGGCGCCTTCCAATACCGTCTGCCCGCCCCCGTCCCTCAGCTGCCTGTATCTTTCCAGCACCGCCCCTGCACTCGCGAGTTCCTGCGTAATTTCCGCTTTTAGGTCCGAAACACGTAGAAACGTGGTACGTGGCTGCTGTCGTAGGCCCAGGGGGAGGGACTAGGTCTCTCGGCAACCAAGGAGACGCCGTTTGATAGGCTGCGGGTGTGGCTAGAAGGGAGAAGGAGGCAGAACGGCTTCCCCAGCAGCCCGGCTGCGCGACCTGAGAAGTTTGATGCTCTTCGTGAGCTCTGAGTAGGGGAAGCGAGGGGTCAGGGGTTACTTGACAGGCTTGAGTTCTCACAGTGGGCGTTCAGATCCGAAACGGCGGCGCCGCAAGAGCGGAACCGACGGCTCTCGAGCCTGGTGTTTCGGTTACTGGCTTGTAGCGCTCGGGAAGTTGCGCAGGCGCACCCGGCCGGGTCTGGTACTCGGCCTGGGATGCACAGTACACATTGCCTGCCGGCGCTTGTCGCGCGCTCGCCTCCAACACAGATGCTTAGCCTGAAGGGTGTCCCTCGTTCTGCTTTTGCTCCGTAAGCTCCACCTAGGGAAAGCAGCTTGTGGTTTTGACCAAAGAATGAATGAAGGAATTATTAACATACACAGCAAGTTTTGACTGATGAACACATATGCCTCGTGCCTCGCATTCACTCCAAGCCTAGTCCTGTTTTTTGTTTTTTGAGTCATCTTGGGTTTGTAAGTTCATTAAAAATAATTAGCCAAACCTGGGTTTGGAGGCGGGAATGGGCCGGGGATTGACCTCAAACGGCTACTAAGGAGTTTTTCAGTGTGATAAAAACGCCCTCAACCTGGATTGTGGTAATAGTTCCACAATGCATTTGCTAAAAATTACTGTACACTTGAAACGGGTGAATTTTAGTGTGTAAATTATATATCAGTAAAGCTGTTAAAAAAATATTAGGCAAAGCTGCTGGAATCCGGATCTTCTATTTTCTTTTTTTGTTTGTTTTTTGAGACGGAGCCTCAAGCTATCCCCCTGGGTAGAGTGCTGTGGCATCACAGCTCACAGCAACCTCCAACTCCTGGGCTCAAGCGAGTCTCCTGCCTCAGCCTCCCAAGTAGCTGGGACTACAGGCGCCCACCACAACGCCTAGCTATTTTTTGGTTGCAGCCATCATTGTTGTTTGGCGGGCCCAGGCTGGGGAGTCGAACCTGCCACCTTAGGTGTATGTGGCTGGCGCCTTAGCTGCTTGAGCCACAGGCGCCGAGCCGGATCTTCCATTTTCAACTGACGTTTTAATGTTACATTGGAGCTTCTCCAGTTCTGGCTGCCCAAGCAACTGACCAAACTTTTGTCCTAGGGCAGAATTGAAATTCTCAACTTTATTATTCTATGTGGGAAGCCCTGCATAGCGTATAGCTCACCTATGCTATACTTACCTTTCAAATACACAGCCACCGGTTTTGAGTAGTTTACACTTGGCAGGAGGCCAACTCTCCAAATATTTTAACTTCAAGATTTTTGAGTTATATGGAGGCTTAGCCAGGGTCTGATATATTGAAAAAAAAAGTGACAAGTCTTAGATTACTCATCTGTACAAAAGTGAAACTTAAGATTTCTAAATTTTCTTTCTCTTTCTCCTTTTTTTTGAGACAAAGTCTTGCTCTTTTGCTTACACTCCAGTCCCATGGTGTTAGCTTAGTTCATAATAGCCTCAAACTCCTGGGCTCAAGCAGTCCTCCTGCTGTAGCCTCCCAAGTAGCTGGAACTACAAGCCCCTGGAACAATGTCCAGCTAATTTTTCTATTTTTAGGTCTATCTTTTGCTCAGGCTGGTTTTGAACTCCTGAGCTCAAGTGATCTTCCCGCTGGTACCCTTCTGTTGGTTCAGCAGGCACAGCGATCCTTCAGTGGTTTCCCATTTTTCTTTGGCTTTGCTCTGCCTTGGAAGGGCTATATGTCCTTAGGCAAAGTCATTTTTTAAAATTTTTAGATGCATATATGACACAATATTTGAATACAATCCTTAATGTAAAAAGTTTTCAAGCAATTTAAATAACACAAAAGTCTCCAGTAGCCTCACTTAATCTCACTTTCCTCCCCAGAGGACTACCCACATCATGTTGCTGTGTTCTTCTGAGATGTTTTTATATGCAAAATTATGCATTTGTACAATATGTAATGTACAAGTGTACTATATATATTTATGTAGGGTACGTAGAATATGTATAATGCATATGTATCAGTAAAAATCTAGAATATACATATTTGGAAACAATTTGGTTTTGTGTCCTTGGTTTGTTTATAGAAATAAAACATGGCTCGGCACCTATAGCTCAACCGGCTAAGGCACCAGCCACGTACACCTAGGGTGGCGGGTTCGA